TCTGTTTCCTAACCATCACTACTACACCAGAGAGTCCCGGAGGACTGCCTTTCTTCGTTTCTCAGATGTGTAATACAAAGGTGGTTCTGCCCATGTGGCATAACCTCACCACACGGTGGTCTGTAAAACCTTCTGTGCTTCAGACCTGGCAAGTGTCACCAGCAATGTGTGCTTACTGTAGATTTCCATTAGTGGAGGAACTCTCTAGATAGACATTTTCTCACCCCAAAAAACATCGAATGTCCAGGTTTCCATGCCAAAGAGTTGGAAACTCCAACTCTCAGCCAGATACCTTCCTTTTTGATGCAGCTTTGAGTTGTATGCTGTTCTTCCTGTATTGTTTATTCCCAAAATGTTCGCTCAGCCAAGTGAAACCAGACCATACTCCACTTCATAGCTCCTTGCTGGTCACGACAGGTTTGGCTGGTAGTTTGACCTGTGACAGATGTCCACACAGTCATCGACAAGACCAACCACTGGTTTGCTTTTTATTCCTGATGTCTTTTTATGTCTAAAAGTCCTCCTTAACAATCTGAGTAGTCTTCCTTTATCTAAACCAGCAGTTTGGTGTATGAAGAAAAATCTAAAAGTTGGGTTAAATGTTGCTCCTCTGAACCTGAATTTACATTGGCTTTCCTGACTCAGACTTTGGGTTTTTGAGGCATTTGTACTGAGGTGTTTTAGATATAATGGCAGCATTTCTCAAAAGATAACCAGGTCACAAAATCGTGTGATATATAGAAAGCTGCTGTATCACGGGAATAGTTACCAGCCTCTGCTAAACGGATTCGTATCCAAAACAGATTATAAATTAGCAATGAATAAAAATGCTTTTAAAATGATAGTGCAGCTTAGCAGTCTTGTGTATTATAGTTTTACTAGCTAGATTTAACACAAAATATTAAGGCACAAATGTAAAAATCCCAGAATTTGAGGAGTTTCAGAGGCATGTTCAATATTTTTCCCTTTAAAAATATTAAAAGACTTTTTTTTTATCATTATAGGCAGTAATTAGGTCAAATTCATCTTTAACCCATTTGTGCTAAAAGTAGCCAGGTTTACTCTATATGCCTTTTTTGGGTCTTGGTGTCTAAAAGAAAAAGCTGCCTTCCAGAAATTTTTAATAAATTCTTTTCTATATTATTTCAAGAACATGTGAAATGCTTCCAATGCTGGAAGATGTACATGTGGAAGAGCCCTTTGGAAGATGTTAAAAAGCCCCAAATGTCCACTCAAGCAAGAGTCTAGCACAAACTTGTTTTGAGGATATCAAGTAATTCTCACTGTAGGCATTTTGAACTTCCTTTTCATCACTGTCATGTGTCTGATTCAAAGGAGATATCCCTCTGCAGTTCGCTATGAACTGGAATTAGAACATTTCTTCCCTAGCATGAAAAGCACTTAAGTTCTCATTAGAGGTGCTATTGAGAGTATTATAGTAACTTTGCCTTCATCAATTCTTATGGTGGTATAAACTGTAACGTTTTTGGAATTAATTTTCAGAGTTTAAACATAAACTTACCTTCTAATACTCAGTATCACTGGGTGTTTTCAAATGTATCAGTCCCGTAAGTAAATATGTAAGTGCTGGAAGCAGAAGGAGTGATGTTTGTTTACATACAACGTTTCATATACCAGATTCTTTCTAGAAAAGTCAATATTATGGGTTCAGAATTGAGCTCTCGGAGCCAGGCCTTTTTTCTTTTTTCTCCCTTCAGATTTTTTCTAGCTAATGGTCAGATAGAAATTTTTCTTTAAATGTTGACTGTCTGAGGAAAAAATGCAGGGTCACAGAGGGACAAGATAAAAGTACAGCAAAAGTAAGAAATATGAATCAGAAGAAAATGTGTGGAGGAAAAGGGAGAAAGAAATCAAAAGAAAAATGTTTCCTTGTTATTTTCCTTATACTCCATTGATCTTTCCAGTCATAAAAGAAGCAGGTTAAAGAATTGTATCTTCTTTTTTATTCTGTTTCCCACAGAAGCTAAATACTTTTAATTACTCCAGAGTTGTGAGTGAGTTTTAAGTAAGGTGTACTGTCATAATACACTGTGAGAACTTTTGACCACCTTAAAGGGTATATTGTAATGGGTTTTCGTTACCTGAGCACCTGAGGTTTGGTGAAGGATAATGGTGCCTTTGTGTTAGGCACTGCACAAACAAATTACCCTGTCTAGAGACCTTGCAGTCTGGGAAAATGGCAGTGACCAACAAATGGAAAGAAACTGGCAAAAGACTGTGAAAGGAGCCAAGATCAAGATAACAGTAAAATTAATATCTTGCAACTAATAACATAGAGCAGTTCCTCCTTGTTAATTAGCTGCCTGTGCTCAGATAGCAGTGACTAGCCAGCCTCTCATCAGGAACAGCTTTTAAAGGGACCACTGAAGGAGGGTTAACTGGTGTCTTTTCTGCAGCGGTTTCTTTTCAGAGTAGCTTTTTTAGACAGCTCAGTTTTATTTTTAACATGTTCGTGTCCAGGTCCAGATGCTATGGCTTAGTTTCAGCCTTTATTTAGTAGAATCTGCCAAAACTCTGGTTGTGATCCAGTGTCATGAGCAGCCTGCTTTGTTCTGTGCAGCTGCAAAGGAGCCTGGAGTTGGTGCAGGGCCCGCAGGAGGAAGGTGCAGGAGGGTTGCCTCGGTCGTGGAGACCCAGTATAACAATTTTGATTTTGTTTGAAA